ATAGCCCTAAAGGCGGAAACAGAACGAAAATAGAATCTTGCCACGTTCTGCACACGATACAAAAGAAGGCGCGAGGCTGAGAAAAACCTTGGTATTTGGTTGTTCCTGTTGAGAGGGCGGGGGTGGTTGCAGTACACCATACAGCTCAAAAAAACTATGCGAGAGCAGCGGGGGTATATCTACATTCCAAACATGCATCATAATCACATCATATCGTCTATCAATACACAACACCTTTTTTTTCTTCTAAACCCATCCAATCCATCTAGATCAACGCCTCACCCCTAAACATGGCATCCTTAACCTCCCTAACCACGTCCGCCCTATCACCCGCTCCCAACAACACAATACCGCGGCCTCTCCTACCCATACGTCCCGTCCTACCCAGGCGATGAATGAAATCAATAGTAGTATGCGGTACATCGTACAAAATGACATGTTTTACCGACACGGTGTCGATACCTCTTGAGCCCAGATCCGTAGTTACAATGACCTTTGTATTAGGCAGCGTGCGTTTATTCGACGATTCTTGTTTCGGAGGAGGAGCGACATCTCCGCCATCTGCAGACACAGGGGCTTTGATCAACATGTCGCTGGTGAAGGAATTGAGGATTTTGGCTGCGCGCGAGGGATCCGTGTCGCGGTGGAAGGCTAGGGCGTCGATGCCTTTTGACACGAGGTATTGGGCTACGGCTTCGGTGTCTTCGCGTTGGTTGACGAAGACGAGGATGCGCTTGATGGGAATGGCTTCTTTTCCTTCGTTGGGGTCGTAGTCGCCGGATGCTTTGCCAATCTGCCAGATTGTGTCGGCGCAGGCGAGGTTTTTGTTGCCGCGGTATGGGTCCTTGTTTACGTCTACGACACCGAGTTGGACTCGTCGCGGGATGGCGTGGAGGTTGGGTGTGACGAGGCGTTGCATGTCGGGGGAATCTGTCGGCGAGGTACTTGTCGAGGTACTTTGGGATGGTGGCGGAGCAGAGGAGCAGTTTCTTGAGCGATGGGGTGGCTCGGTCGAGGATTTCGGTGGTGCTTTCTTTGAAGGAGCGGTCGAAGAGGGAGTCTGCTTCGTCGCAGATGAGGTGAGTGACGCGGGCGAGGATGTTGGGGTTGCTTTCGGCGATACTGGCTAACAACGGGGGTGTGCTAATAACAACGTCGACTCCGTTGGGATTGAAGAGTTGATTGCGAATGACTTTGGCAGTCATCTTGGCGGATATGGGCGCAGCGCGAAACTTGACAGTGTGGGAGAGCGACTTTGCCACGGCACCGACTTGGGCCACCAGTTCAGCGGATGGAACAAGGATGATGGCTCGTGGTCGTGCTGGGTCTACTGCCTTGTTAATTTGGGGTTCCTCTGCGGCGAACATGTCGGTCCTTCGGTCCTGTGAGTCGGCCTGCGCCTTCTGGGCATCCTTCTGCGCTTGTTCTTCGGCATCTTCCTTTTCCTGCAGTTCTTCCGCCTTGATAGCGTCCAGTGTCGGAAGCAGGTAGGCCAACGTCTTCCCGGAACCCGTTTCGGCAGCCAAAAGAAACGTGTCGGGTCCACTTTGCTTTGCCTTTACTTTTGCTCGCACGGTCTTCTGCAAGCCCAGTAGGGCTGGTATTGCAACGGCTTGGGCGGGTGTGGGGTTGCGATATTCGAGGCCGGGGAGGGCGTCCTTGATGGCGCTGAGGATGGGTTCGGCGAGGGGGAACTTGTCGAAGGAGTCGTATTCCTCCATCTTACGCTTGATGGCGGTGCGGTTGCTATAGGGTACCTGGTGCAGCGAACTCTGCATCTTGAGGGCATGGAAGCCATCTGATCTTGTCCTCCTCTTGCCATCGTCGCGCCCCGTTGCCTGTCTACCCCCACGTGCTTCCCTCTGTTCGCGTACCCGCTCTAAGCCCCGCGGCACCTCTGTGCGATTGAGGTATCCAAATGCGTCCGGTTTTCTCCGTGGGGTTCGTTCAGACGTGCGCCCAACGTCTTCCGACAGCACCATGCGTGACGGACGGGGGTTTTCACGACGGCGCGCATAGCTGGATGGACGCGCAGAAGATGCGCCATGGCGTTCGCCCCGTTCCCGCTGCAATTGGGTGTACAGACGGGCTTGGATGAGGTTTCCCGTTGGTGGACCCAGCAACGCCCGCACCTCGCAAAAAGGACAGGCCTTGGTGGCTCGCCGCAACATGACTTGGATGAAACGTCGTCCTATAGCAATGGCACGGCAATATGTCTCTATGGAGGATTTGAAAAGTGAAACTAGACTCTGCACATGCAGCTACTAGGCGATCCGATCTGACGTCGCCGGCGCCAGCTGCACGGGCGATCGCACGATAATTTCGAGGCTAGTAGGCGATAAGCCTGGTGTTGCCGCAGCAACGCCAGCATTTACCGACGTGCTGCCCTCATCCCGGCTATCAAACACTTGATAGCACCGGGCGGCCCCAACCACATCGCACGCGCATCCACCACCTCCTCCTCCGCTTCCCCATCGCTCACCACCCAGCGTGCAAGTCGGTGTCCTTCACTTCTTTGCTTCCTATTTAATCAGCGTGCATCCGTTATTCGCTGTGCACACTCCTCGACGGAGTCCATTCTTCGCGAGCAGCTTTCTGCCACACGACGCAGAGACAGGCACGCCCTAGCTAGACACTCGAAACTCACAAGTCGGCCTGTTGCCAATCCACGCCAGCCAACATGTCGCGCAATGAAGCGGTAAGTTCCCCTCATCCACCTCATCATCCTCGCCGTCCCGTGACTGCGGTGCCCCGGACGCAATCCTGACTTCGCCGGCAGGTGTCGCCGCTGCGCATCAACAAGACGCCCGCTGGCTCCCCCATAAAGGGCAGCGGCCGTCCGCTGTCTGAGATTGGACCCCATGAGCATCGCAGGAACTCGCCCAGCTGGAACCAGGCCACGAAGGTGCGTGCAGATCACGGCACGGTCAGAGTGTTTAGGATAAACAAAACTGACATGTCACAGAAGATACACCTGACCAAGGAGAGCTCTCCTTTCCGGGACTCATCACCCTTCACCAACAGCCCACGTTTATTCTGGAAAGAGCAGACGACGTCGCCCAAGAGCCGCTTCGACACGTCAGAGAACGACTTTGAAGTTAGCTCGCCACTTTCGCCCAAGCGCAACTCGATTGAGAACCTCAAGAAGCAGTCGCGCGTCAAGAACAGCAGCATGTTCGCACGTGAGCAAAAGCACGAGTACGACCCCACTGCCGTCCAGCCACTGGAACGACCGCTCGCTGCCGGGCGTCCGCTCAACGCCACCATCCAGGGCAACGCTTATGGTGGGAATGGCATTCAGGGAATGCGTCAAGAGAACCAGAGCCCCACCAAGGGCCACCGTCACACCCGTTCCGAGAGCCAGACACGGATTCCAGCTCCCAGCCCGTCCAAGACTTCGCCCGCGAAGCTCCCCACACAGTCGTCGTTCGCTTCTCCATCCAAGGCCTCACCGTCTGAAGGCCGCATGTCGCCAACCAAGTCATCGCTGGTCAGCAATGGCCGCTTCAACTCACCACAGTACAACCACGACTCCAGCATGACATCCGAGGCCGAGGAGCTCCAGCAAAAGACACCTCGCCCACTGCGCCGTCATGCTAAGAGTGTGACCTTCGACACCGCTCCACCGCAAATCACAGAGTTTGAGATGGTCACACCCGATCCTTCCGTGGCAACTGCGTCGCGTGACGGTAGCTACGATTCCGAGGAGGAAACCGAGGAGGAAGTGAGCTTCGACCAGGACGACAGCTTCGATGCTTCGCTGGAAGATACCGACAAGACACCCGTTGTCTTGCCCGAGGACTGGCGCCACATGAGCCCCGACGCCGCCAACACATCGCTCACCGACGCCTACGACGATGTCTTCGAAGGCCGCGACAACAGCCCCATGCCGAATGCGCGTCCCAACGGCACCACCAACCGCTCACGCATGAGCTCCGCAGCCTCTGATAGCGATGCAAGGCCTCTTCCTCCTCTTCCCGGTATCTCGAGCGGTTCTCGGCGGCGCGACTCTAGCATCGGCCTGGCCAACACAGCTGAGCGAGTTGTTAGCGATAGACGGCGGTCTCTCCCTCAGCTTCCCCAGGCTGCGGGCATCTCCAAGAACGATCTCCTCAACATGCGAGAAGTCTCCATGTCCCTCGAAGACCGCATGCGCTTGATGAACTTCGACAACGACCGCGATACGAGCACACCAACACAGGAGAGGGTTCAAAAGTCTGTCGAAGCGGACGTTACAGACGTTGATGTCACAGCGTCCGAGCTCCAGATTGACGAGCCCAAGGTCCCGCGCATCTCTCGCGAATCGATCCTGCGCCGCGTCAAGAGCCGCACCTTTGAAGGCGAAGAAACAGAGACGGAAGAAGAGTACAGTGGCTATGACCTTGAGTCTAGCCCGGAACGTAGCTATGGCGATCTCGCCGACCTGGACCCGGACGTCCCCATCCCTTCGCGCGAGGCTTCTTCCAACTTCGACGAGCAACCGCGCGCCGTTTCCGGTATCACCGAGAGCGAAGCTGACAGTGTTTACGATGCGTACAGCTACGGAGAGAACACCGAAGTTGAAGGCGCGGACACATCAAATGTAGACGGCAGCTCCATGTCTGAGATGGAGGACTATGAGCGCGAGTCATCCGTCATCCGCCATCCCATGCCACCACAAACTGAGGACGATGATGACACCAGCCAATACTCGCCTTCTCCTGAACCTGAGGAGCAGCCAAACTCCACGGGCACTATCAACTCTTCTGGTCCTTCAACACCCACTGCTGTTCCCTCTTCCCCTGCTGCTGCACCTGAGAAGCAGGCCAAGGAAGACGAGATGTACTCCACCATGGAAGGTAAGGATGTCGATCTGACGCTTGACCCACTCCAAGCTTCTTTTGCAACCGCTGCGTGTCCATTGGACACTGCTCCTAAGCTAGATGCAATGCGCGATTTCCTTCGCAGACCCACCACACCTGAGAGCACCAGGGAAGAAGATGACGACTCCGGGTCGGAGCCTGGTACACCAGACTCTGTCATTCGGCATCCTGTTGCCCAGTCTCCACCCCCGCATGAGAGTTCCCCAGAGGTTCCCCAACGAGAGGCCACCATCCGGGGAGGCAAGCTGAAGACTCGTCCATCACTCATTCCTGATGAGGTTGACATGGCAGCAGCACGCCGCCAGGTCAGTGGCGAGCATATTCCGCCGCTGCCTCAGCGGAGCCCCAAGCGCCAGTCGCTCAACTTTGAGATTGGACACATCGAGGAGGAGAGCTCCCAACTCAGCTTGACAAGCAGGGAGAGCCGTATC